CCAGGCTGACACACCTTGCTCACGCTGACACACCTTGCCCAGGCTGACACACCTTGCTCACGCTGACACACCTTGCCCAGGCTGACACACCTTGCCCAGGCTGATACACCTTGCTCACGCTGACACACCTTGCCCAGGCCGAAATCTCAAGCCCCTCACGTATCTGCTGTCGGCTTACACACCATCATCATCTGCCCTCACACACAGCAGAAACGCCACAGCCAGCTGGATCTGTTCTGGTCACAACTTCCCCAGAGTCTAGGGAGGAACCCCCTCATAAATGTGGATTGAATCAGAGACTGGGGGGCTCCTGCCTCTGCCACTTAGTGCAGGCGGTAGAGGCCAGGGGCCAGCCAGGTCTCCATCATGCCCGCAGCCCATCCTAATTTTAGGGGTCCATGAACCTTTTCCTTTGGATTTCTTTTAAAATAATATGAAAAATAAAATGATAACACATTTATAACAGTGAACCCAGCCTGGCTCCCATTCATCTCTCACCAGGACAGTCATAAAATGTCAGTTTTACTATGGGGGGAGGTCAACCCCTCTGCTCTCCACCTTGTGGGTGGGATTAGGCGAGGAGTGTGTGTGGGGGCGTCTGGTGGTCACTCTGAGCGCTGGGGAGCCAGGCAGCCCCACGGCAGAGCCCTGCCAGGTCCAGGAGTGTCCGCACTGCCTCCGCTCGGGGGTCCTCTCAGAACACAGCGGGAGACAGGCAGGCGGGCGGGTCTCGCGCCGCTGGAAGGATAAAGAAACCGCAGCTCAGCTGTAAGTAACTCGACTGAAAGGCATGGCGGAGCGAGAGCTGAGACCCCTTCTCTGAGGCCGGGTTCCGGGCTCGCCCCAGGACCAGACCCTCACTCCCGGCCACCCCGGGGTGCACTCAGCACCTCCTTTCAAGAAACCGCGTGTACCCCGGGACTGCTGCGGCTCCTCTAGTAGAATCCGTCACCAAAGGCTTGATTTCCCGTGCTGGGGCTGGTGCCAGCGCCTGGGGCTGCCAGGTGCCGCGTTCCAGCTCGGGCAGCCTGAGCTCCCCTCCCGCTCAGCACCCCGATGCTGGCCCGGCACCTGCTCTGGACCAGGCCAGCCCGGCCAGCTCAGGGGCGGGGCGGTGGCATCCCGATTGTCCCCCCCTTCCTCAGAGAGGCTGGCGGGGAAGCCGAACACCGCATCTTGGAACAAATCTGTTTTTGATCATGCAAATGAAGGCCGGTTAGTGTAGGCAGACTGTCAGTTTCACCAGTTAGAAAGAGAGAAAAGGGGGGAAAATTCCCCACCACGGCAACGGATGAAGAATTTCAACAGAAAGCTGCTACTTCACATCAGATCCCTCCCCGTGACCGGAGCCTTCGGAGG